CACAAAGCAATTCTAGTAAATCCTCTCCTTCAGCGTGTGGGTCAGGTGGGCCCAAAGATCCATCTTCTCAATCGCTGTGGCTGAGTTCTGGAGCAAAGTTGACGCTTCAGCTCGTAAAGGCTGCTGCGGGAGTAGTAGACTCAGGACCTAAAACATCTCATTGTTGTCTTCTATAAATATCCTGTTGCATGACTCCTAATATAATCCCCGAGTTATGCAAAGTAAGGTATGTTATCTTTCTCTTACTGTATTTATGCTGACACAAGTGTTCAAATATTAAAACTCACCCAGAGTGAACAGTTAGGGACATGTGCTCAGACTTGATAGGTAGACAGGGACGGTGCCGATGACTGATGCACTCGCCTCGGCCTTGCAGCTCCCAGTCTCCCATGACTGACCCTGAGTGGCTGTCCAGAGACCGCCACCGAATCCCACTCTCAGGGCCCACTTTGTCATCATGGCCGAGTCAGTGTGGGAAATTGTTATCTGCCTGCCTCTGCCCACTGTGAGTTCTGTGAGGGGAAGAACTTTGCTCACCATGTTCTTAGAATCCCCAGTCTAGAGGAGACGCCTAGCAAGCATCTGCAGAGCCAGGGGTTATCCTCTGGAGGGAGAGGGGTGGTTTGTGGTGCTCTCGAAGCTTGAACAGCAGCAGGGCAGAAGGCAGATGGCCCCTCCAGGCCTACCTTTGCTGTCTCTCCTTCGCCCTCACTCTCTCCCAGCTCTGCTGCTTACCACTCTCAGCCTGGCCCCAGGTGTTCTCCCATCAACCCAGGATAGGTGGAGGAAGAAGCGAACCATGCACTGGCGACCCAGTTCCGTTTATCCCCTCTGCAATGAAACTTAGTCTCACTGGAGAATCTCCCTATAAAGTACTTTCTACGTTTTCTGAGGCAGAAACATGGTCATTTAATAATTTAAAATGGGTATTCCTAAATTGGGTCTTCTTAATGTAAACTGAAGCTATGAGATGTGTCGAAATCTAAAAGTTAAATAACATATTTTGTTGGTGAATCCATGGGGAAGCAAGCATTTTCCTAACACTGTTGGTGAGAATGCAAAATGGTACTACCCCTGTGGGGATAGTGTGGCAATAGCTAGCAATATTACGTGTGCATTTACTCTTTGTCAGGGCAATACTGCTTCTAGGAATTTACCCCAGAGATAGGTTGGTAAAAACAGGAAAAGATCCTTGTAGAGATAATTCATGGCAACACTATGAGAAATAGCAAAGAATTCTAAACAGCACAAAATTCCCATTCATAGGGCGCTGGCTGAGTCCTATACAGTGGAGTACTGTGCCACTGTTGAAAGAATGAGGAAGCCCTGGATATTGCTAAGGAGTGATGGCCGGGGTATGTAATTAAGTGGAAAGGCAAAGGTGGAGAAAAGTGTCCATGCTACTGTTGACAAAGGGGACAATATGATATACATGTTTGCATGTATCTTAAAAATGGACGGGGAAACATACTTGCTCTTTCTCTCTTTGTTAAGTAAAGCAACCTGTGGGAACCAGGATAGAGGGGAGAGATGTAAAAGCTAGATTTCTGAATCTACCTTGTTTGTAGATTTGACTTTGGAACTCCATCGGTATAATATAATCATTATAAAACAAAATAAAGTAAAAGGTTACAACCCTTGAAAATTTTGATATACACTATCAGTTTTTTCTCTAAAAAGTTTATATCCTGTTTACCTTCTGTCAGTACTTGAGGAGAATTCTTTTCCCCCACATGTTTGTCAGTACTGGATAGTCATCTTTTAAAACTTTGCCAATCCCATGGGCGAAAAATAGATTGCTATTTTCATTTGCATTCTCTGATGACTAGAGCGATTAAGCAGCTTTTTACTTGCTTATTATCCATTTTGTATTTCTTCTGTGAGGAAGTCCAAGCTAGAGCAATCAAACAACAACAACAACAAAAAAGAAATAAAGGGCATCCAAATTGGAAAGGAAGAAGTCAAATTATCCTTGTTTGCAGATGATGTGATCTTATATTTGGAAAAACCTAAAGACCCCACCAAAAAAACTATTAAAACTGATAAATTCAGTAGAGTTGCAGGATCCAAAATCAATGTGCAAGATTCAGTAGCATTTCTATATGTACCAACAGTGCTCAATCTGGAAAAGAAATCAAGAAAGTAATCCCTTTTACAGTAGTTACAAATAAAATAAAGTACTTAGGAATTAACTAAAGAAGTGAGAGATTTCTACAATGAAAACTACAAAACATTGATGCAAGAAATGGAAGAGAACACACAAAAAATGGAAAGATACTCCATGTTCATGGACTGGAAGAATCAACAGTGTGAAAATGTTCGTATTACCCAAAGCAATCTACAGATTCAGTGCAATTCCTATTAAAATACCAAGGACATTCTTCACAGAAATGGAAAAAATAATTCTAAATTTTTACGGATCCAGAATAGCCAAAAGACCCAGAATAGCCAAAATTATCCTGATGAAAAATTGGAGGAATCACATTTTCTGACTTCAAATTATACTACAGAGCTATACTAACCCAAACAGTGTGGTTCTGACATAAAAACAGACACAGAACAATGGAACAGAATAGAGAACCCAGAAATAAATTCATACATACACAGTGAACACGTTTTTGACAAATGTACCAAGAACATATACTGAGGAAAGCACAATCTCTTCAATAAATGGTGCTGGGAAAACTGGTTATCCATATGCAGAAGGATGAAACTAGACACCTGTTTCTTGCCATAAACAAATATCAAATCAAAATGGATTAAAGACTTTAAGACCTCAAACTATGAAACTATGAAAAGAAAACACTGGGGAAACTTTCCAGCACGTTGGACTAGGCAGAGGTTTCTTGAGTAATTTCCACAAGCACAGGCAACCAAGGCAAAAAGTGGACAAATGGTTAAAGCTCCTGCATAGCAAAGGAAACAGTGAAAAAAGCTCCTGTTTTTAACAAGTTAAACAGTTCCTGCACAGCAAAGGAAACAGTCAACAAAGTGAGGAGACAGCCCACAGAATGGGAGAAAATACTTGCAAACTGCCGGGCGCGGTAGCTCACGCCTGTAATCTCAGCACTTTGGGAGGCCAAGGTGGGAGGATCACAAGGTCAGGAGATATGACCAACCTGGCTAACACGGTGAAACCTTATCTCTACTAAAAATACAAAAGATTAGCTGGGCGTGATGGCCGGCGCCTGTAGTCCCCACTACTCGGGAGGCTGAGGCAGGAGAATGGCGTGAACCCAGCAGGTGGAGCTTGCAGTGAGCCAAGATTGCGCCACTGCACTCCAGCCTGGGTGACAGAGTGAGACTCTGTCTCAAACAAACAAACAGAACAAAAAGAAATTGCAAACTATTCCTCTGACAGGGGATTGTAACCAGAATAAATCGGGAGCTTAAATAATTCAAAAGGGAAAAATCTAATCATCCAGTTAAAAAATAGGCGAAATAGACATTTCTCAAAAGAAGACATACATATGGCAAGTAGTATATGAAAAAGTGATCAATATCATTGATCATCAGAGAAATGCAAATAAAAATGACAATGAGATAACGTCTTACCCCAGTTACAATGACTTTTATCCAAAAGACAGGCAATAACAAATGCTGGCGAGGCTGTGGAGAAAAGGGAGCTCGCGTACACTGTTGGTAGGAGTGTAAATTAGTACAACCACTGTGGAGAACAGTTTGGAGGTTCCTCAAAAAACTAAAAATACAACTACCATGCGATCCAGCAATCCCACTGCTAGGTGTATACCAAAAAGAAAGGAAATCAGTGTATGAAGAGATGTCTGCACTCCCATGATGATCGCAGCACTATTCGCAGTAGCTAAGGTTTGGAAGCAACCTAAGTGTTCATCAGCAGACAAGTGGATAAAGAAAATGTGGTGCATATACACAGGGAGTACTATTAGACCGTAAAAAAGAATGAGCTCCTATCATTTGCAACAACAGGAGGACACTTACGTTAAGTGAAATAAGCCAAGCACAGGAAGACAAACTTCACATGTTTTCACTTATTTGTGGGAGCTAAAAAAAAAAAAATGAACACAGTTGAACTCATGGAGATAGGCAGTATATTGATGGTTACCAGAGGCTGGGAAGGGTAGTGGGGCTGGGGGGATGGTTAATAGGTACAAAAATATAGTTAGAATAAACAGGGTCTAGTATTTGATAGCACAACAGGGTGACAACAGTTAATAATTTGCTGTACATTTAAAAATAACTCAGTATACTTGGATGGTTTGTAACACAGAGAAAGGATAAATCCTTGAGGCAATGGATACCCCATTTACTCTGTGATTATTCTGTGCCTGTATTAGAGTGTCTCATATGCCCCATAAATACATATACCTACCATGTACCCCCCCACACACAAAAGAATGTTGATGTATTTCTTTTGTAAAATGCAATTTCATAGCCTTTTTTATATCAGGAAGATTTTTTTCTACTGATTACAACCGTTTATATATTATGGATATCATTTTCATTTGTTTATTATTACCAGGTCACAACTTTAGTTCCAGTCAAGTTGTTCAGGTCCTGCCTAGTCTGATATTGAGGTTTTCTACAAGAACATTTATATGTGATGCATGCTCATGGTATTCTAGACTTACAGCTGAGCAGACTTCCCTCAACTGTTCAAATGCCGGCTCCCTGAAGCAGTAGCAACTGTGTCTTCCACTGTTGGAAAGACACAGTTGTTACTTCTTTTCTTATTTCCTAGGGCTTACTACTGTGTCTAAGTAGTAAGCAATTGTAAATGTCCACTTAAGTTGATTGCTGATGAACATATAAAAACTAAATTTCACTGTCTTTGGTTTGAGATCGTTCTTATTTTTAATTTTTAGTGATCCTTGATAACCATTTTTGTTTTCGGTTCAGTGTGAATATGTGAATGAAATAGTAATTTTTATGTCTATGTGAGGTCGGTTTCAAGAAAGCATTCATAGCTATCAGCACTTGCTTTTTGTTCATGGATCTGTTGAACCTGTTTCTTTCTCTAGGTCATAACTCCATGCAGGAAGCTCATCTTGTGTGCTGATAACAGAAAAGAAATGGAAGATTGGATTGCAGCATTAAAGACTGTGCAGAACAGGGAGCACTTTGAGGTTAAAAAAGAAAATACCCTTCTCCGAATGCCTCCTGTTGCCTCCCTCACCCCAGTGTCTGCTGTCTGAGTGTCTCCCACCTGCGGACCCACAGTCTGGAGCTCACATTCTCAGCATGTTCCTTATACAATTAAAGCTTATTGCTTGTCCTCTGGCAGACCTGTCCTTTATAAACCTTCCTCCTCTCCTCTCTTGGATACTTTGTTTAATCTTGTCCAAGTTACTGCATTTAACAATTTAAAAGAGAAGTCTTACCTTTGCCGTCTTGGTTTCGTTCTTCCAGCCCACCCAGTACAGCATGGACCACTTCTCAGGGATGCACAATTGGTACGCCTGTTCCCACGCGAGGCCGACCTACTGCAATGTGTGCCGTGAGGCTCTGTCTGGGGTCACGTCGCATGGGCTGTCCTGCGAGGGTACGGATGTGCATTTGTTATTCTGTCAGGAAAGGTGGCCTGGCATTTTACTTGATAAAGCCTTGGAAATCCAAACCCAGTCACCATAAATAAGCCATTGTCACCCATGTGGTCAGTCAGGGGCACAGTGATTTCTATGACGCCATTCTTCTTTATTTTACCTGCCGAAGAGTCCTTGATAAATCATTTTTTTATAGTGCTCAAACAGTGAAAAGAAGGGAAGCAGTGGGTGGCAAAAGAGAAACAGGGGAAGCCTAGAGCACACAGAGGGCAAGACACTGAAGGAACAGTGGTCGGCCCCCGTGTCTCACACTCCGCAGCTGGGGAAACAGGGCTGTGCATATATGGACTGAAAGTGCGTTACAGATTTAGAGGTCAGGGCTGCAGGGTTTGGGCACGGACATCCAGTCTGGTGGCAAAAGCAGTGGGCTAGAGCAGGGCTTGTTAGCTGTAGCCTGGACCACACCCTGCCTCTGCCTGTTTTTGTACAGCTCCCACACTTCAGACTGGCTTTTAAATTTTTAAATGATTGGAAAAAATCAAAAGAAGAATCATATTTTGTGGCACATGAAAATTACATAAAATTCAAATTTGTGTCCGCAAAAAAATACTGTCTCTGGCTGCTTTTGTGCTACACGGTAGAGTTGAATAGTGGTGATGGAAGCTGGTTACGACCTGCAGAGTCTCCACTGCTCACTCTCTGGCCTGTTACAGAAAGCATACTGATCCCCAGCTTTCCCTGCCGGTGCCGGTCCCACCGCCATCAGCCTCTAAGCGTATCACAGTAGTTCACTTATAAAATGGGAGTGCCGTTGATTCCTTCCTTGACTTTTGTGGAGCTGGACAATTCTCACAACACTGCTCAGCATGGGAAGCTTCTGGCACAGACACAGCTTGTAGGCTCGTGTGTCCCTTCTCTCACAGTGTGCAAATTTAAGGCCCACAAGCGCTGTGCTGTGCGTGCAACCAATAACTGCAAGTGGACCACGCTGGCCTCCATCGGGAAGGACATCATTGAAGATGCAGATGGGGTATGTTAAGAAATACCACCCGTGGGGCCCTGAGCCAGGGCCCCCCACCTGCACGGCCCCTTGCAAGCCTCCTCCCTTCCCTCCCCACCTCTGTTTCATTTGAGACGGTCACACTGGCATTGGGTGTCACAGTGGAAAGCACATGCGGTCTCTGTGTGGTTGTCACGCCCCCGAGCTCCATCCTGTCCCTGTGGGTCTCGTTTGCACCTCCGACAGGTGCTGTGGGTAGATTGTGCTTCACAGGCCCTGCCATCCCTGCCCTCACTGACCATCGGGGAAGGAGTTTGTGCTGGGAAGAATGCCTTGGCTGAGTTCACAACGAGCGTTTCCGTCTGAGGGCTCCTGGCTGCCCTTGACATGGAGCCTTGGGAGCGTCCCTAGCGCGTGCCTGTTTGGTTGCAGATCGCAATGCCCCACCAGTGGTTGGAAGGAAACCTACCTGTGAGCGCCAAGTGCACTGTGTGCGACAAGACCTGTGGCAGCGTGCTGCGCCTGCAGGACTGGCGCTGCCTCTGGTGCAAGGCCATGGTGAGTGTGGGCCCTGCGCCCGGGCTGGAGGGGAGGGCCTGCTCCCTACGGTGTCCGTGCGGGCCTTGTGGCTCCACATGATCTGCTGGATCCTGGGAAAATCGTCCCAGAGGCCCCTCCGGCTGAGATTGGGTTTTTGAATTGTTGGGACATTCTTCTTAGCTGTGTTTTTGGGGTATTTCTTCCTGTTGAATTTATTCCTGCCTTTTGACACACGCAGATGTGTATTGTTATGACAGATGTCACCCTGCATCATGCGGCAGGCGCTGTAGCCAGGTTGTGAGGGGGTCACCTGGGACAGTTGAGCTGGCCGCCTCTGTGGTGTGGAAGCAGGAAAGATGTAGAGGGCCTTCGGAGCAGTGTCGGCTCTGGGCAGTGTTTACAGTGAGCCCAGCCATGTGGAAGGGGTGCAGCCCACATGGCCTCCTGCCAGGTCCTGGGTCTCATCGTTGCTCTGGGTGGTGAGATGTGCTTCCAGGGAAAGACCCAGGGAGCCTCCATGTGCTTGCTTCTGAGTTGGTCATTGTGAAGTGGCTGCTGCAGTCACTTGCCTAGCACATCTGGCTGCCAGGAGGAAGCCAAGACATAGGGGACACATAGAGGCACATGGCCCTAGGAGCCCTCACCGTCGTCCTGAAAGTTTGAGGTAGCTGTGGTTGAAGGGCCAGAGGGTTGGGTACAGGACTGTAGCTCACACGGTGTGAACCATGACTGGCTCCTGCCTGGTGTTTCTGTGTTATGCCTTCTCAAGTGCAAAGCCAGGGCCCGGGACCCCTGATGGGAGCAGGCCAGCCCAGCTCTGAAATCACCCGCCTCCCCCGGGGCCAGCTCATCAGCTACAGGGCAGGAGGATTTCTGGTGTGTGTGAAGGATGCCAGTGACCCTTGGTGACGCGGGGACTCTTGTTTCAGGTTCACACATCGTGTAAAGAATCCTTGCTGACCAAGTGCCCACTTGGCCTATGCAAAGTGTCAGTCATCCCACCCACGGCTCTCAACAGCATCGACTCTGATGGTGGGTACCACACATGCTCATCTTTCTCATGCATGCCCACATGCTTCCTTCTCCACGCACTTTCCTCTCCAGCTCTGGAGTTGGTTGTCTTGGTGAGATGTCAGCAAGAGGTCAGGCACAGCTGTGGGGGCCACTGGAGGAGTTGCACAGAGTGGCACACAGTGCCCTGATTCTGTGGCATTGCCCTTAGACGGGGGCCTGAGACCCAAGCCAGGTGCTTGACGTGGAGGTGATGCTGTTGAGTGGCACCCAGGCTTACACAGGCCTGAGACCCGAGCCTGGCGCTTGACGTGGAGGTGGTGCTGTTGAGTGGAACCCAGGTCTGTGGCCTTCTCCGTCGTGAGTCGTTGAAGCTGTGCTCCATCTCTGCCTAGCACTTGCTGACACACTGGCTTGCAGCTGTTGTCATGTCTGACTGGGACATGGTGGCACCTGTTGACAAGTACTGCTGGAAGGGGGGATGTGGGGTCCATGGCTGAGAGGAGATCAGGAAGAGAAGAGCAGCAAGGTGGCAGTTGGACGCCTTGTGAATGTGAGATCAGATGGATGGGGCTCCCGGCCTCACACATGGGGAGTGGCCGTGGGGACTGTTCGCTGACCTCCTCCTGAGTCATAGGTGTGCGTGTGTCAGGTGTGTGTCCTTGGAGGGGTCTCCTGCTGCTGATTCCATCAGTGGTGCCCCCAGCGTCTTCCGTGGCCTACATGTTTTCTTCTGTTCATTCTCGCGTCCAGGGTTCTGGAAGGCCAGCTGTCCTCCGTCTTGCACAAGCCCACTGTTGGTCTTCGTCAATTCAAAAAGTGGGGACAACCAGGGTGTGAAGTTCCTCAGAAGATTCAAACAGCTGCTAAATCCCGCCCAGGTCTTCGACCTCATGAACGGAGGCCCACACCTCGGGTAGGAAGCTTGTAAAATGTATCTTTCTTGGAGTTTTAAAAATTGTGCAGGTGGTGTGTGCTTGTTAGAGAAAAAAAAAAAGATTAAAGACACAAAGTTTTAAATAGGAAAGAAAAGTTAAAGTGCTTCCTCCCCAAATTGCACTTGCAGAGGTGCCCACTGTTAATAGAGGTGCATGGCCTTCCAACTTGGAACACAGCGCGTGTGCGCACACGTACATACACATACATACACCCATGTACACACACCCATGCACATGCATCTTTTGAGCCAATCAGGATTCTTCTTTACCTGCCGTTGCACAAATGCCTTCTGCGTGTGTCTGCACACAACGTTGTGGGTATATTTTCTTTCTTTTATCTTTTCTTTCTCTCTCTCTCTCTCTCTCTCTCTCTCTCTCTGTCTGTCTATCTATCTATCTATCTATCTATCTATCTATCTATCTATCTATCTATCTATCTATCTGTCTAATCTGTGGGTGTGTTTTCCTGGCATGCCACGTTGTTTGTAACGGCTGCCTAGCATTGAGAAAGAAGCTGTCCTGCGGCAAGGCCAGGAGGAGTGTTTGCTGAGAGGCACGGGAGGCTGCTCGGTGTGCAGGTGCTGCAGAGCGGGAACACGCGAGGGCGACGCTGGGCCAGAGTGATTCCCCTGTTCATCAGCAGCACAGAGATTAGACTGCTCCTCTGCTTGCTGGAGAGCCAGTGTGTGTTATTTGTAGTTTTGTACTTTTCATAAGTTTGTAGAAAACATTTGCTTTTGTGAATTTTGCCATTTCAGCGAATTTCTTCTTCCTTTGGAAGCATCAGCTTCAGGTCGGAGCTCTGAGAGGACTTGCTAGCACTTCCAGAGATTGTCCAGGATACCCGAAGTGGGAAGTGCCTGCAGAACCTTGGTCTGGCCTGTGTTTTTCTGGGAGGAGTCAGGGGGGTCTGTGTATTTACGAGCCAGGGGCTACTCTGATGTGAACCTCGGCCAGTTCCCTGCGTGTCCTTGGCGTATGTGCCAGGGTAAGAGGAACACGCTGCTCATCATTGGTCCTCTGGGTGTCTTCGGTGTTACTCGTCCGCACTCACAGCCAGGCACAGTTGGAGAGCAGTCACAGATGGCAGCACTCCAGCCTGCTTCCGCAAAGGCAGTACTCCCACATTTTCTGTAGACTTATCTGAATGGTGGAGGATTGCAATCACTAGTAGGCTGATCAAGACAGTATTTTAATTTTATTTTTAACTTTATATTTTTTGAGACAGAGTCTTGCTAGGTTGCCCAGGCTGACTGCACTGGCGCAATCCTGGCTCACTACAGCTCCTGGGCTCAAACCAGCCTCCTGAGTAGCTGGGACTGCAGGTGTGCACCACTATGCCCAGCTGATTTTTTAAAAAAATGTTTTGTTGAGCATCACAAAACTTTTAAAACGTTTTGTAGAGTGGCCTCACTGTGTGGTCCAGGTTGGTTTCAAACTCCTGGACGCAAGTGATCCTCCTTCCTCAACCTCTGAAAGTGTTGGATTACACTGTGCCTGGCAAAGAAATAATTTTAGTTAAAAAGTGGGGAAAGTGGAGGTGTAATACATCTGTTATCACAGTGCACCAAGTAGGCTGAGGTTGTTACTAAACATGGTACCGGGGTGTTGGAGAAAGGCTTTGAAATGGCTGTGGGCAGGGCAGGCTACACAGCTGATCTGGAGAATAACGAAATATTAATTTTGGTGTGCAAGCAAAACCCCATGATTCGTAGTGGGAGTTCGGTATGAGATGGGATGATTTAGGAAGCCCTCACAGCGGCGTAAAGGGAGTTGAGTCAGTCATTTACCGTTTCTGGAAGCAGCTCATCTCACACAGCTCACAGCAGAATCTGGAGCTACTGCTTCATGTTCCAGTTCCCGGCCTTGACCTGTCACCTCTTCTCCCAAGAGCAAGGGGCCTTACAGGTGTCAGTGTTCTGTGTGGAGCCTGGGCTTGGTGCCGCATCACCTACGCCTGCCTGTCTTCTGAGAATTCATTCTGGGTTGGACACTGAGCTCGAGGCAGGGTGCGCAGGTCAGCCAGGCTAGGAGTGCAGATGCAGGGAATGGGTAGGAGCACACGCAGGGTCCCCCGGCACTTCAATGGGGTGATGCAAGTTCTCTGGGAACCGGGGGGGCAGGGGTCTCAAGTCACAGTGGGCGTTCTTCCACGTCTCCCCGAGCTGGCGTCTGAGGAGCTCTAGTGTTCTGATGTCTGCAGGGAGACGGGGAGGCTTCTGGGCCAGGGGCACCGCTTGTGCAGAGGTGAGGCAAGAGGGAACACTGCGGGGCCAGACCGGGGGCAGCAGCAGAAAGGTGGCACCTGCCATCGGGGAGGGCTGCGGGTGCTGGCCAAGAGGTTCGGCTCCTTCCTGCAAACGAGGGGCAACCTCATAAAGCAAGGCCCATGGCCAGGCTCGTGTTTTAGAAAGATCTTCTTGGAACTCGTGTGGGGAGCTTTCAGGAAGGGTGTCCTAGTGACTGAGGCCTCTGTGGGACTCTGCGAGAGCACGGTGGTGACCTGAGCTGGTACCTGGGTTGGGTGTGGAGGAGAGGCTGCCAGGAGGGGCTGGATCGGCTGCAGGCTGGGAGGAGGAGGGTCTGGCCTCTCGACTGGGTTGGTGGTTGTGCTACCATTCTCTGAGCAGGGCTGTGTCCTGTTGGAGGTGTCCTGGGATACCAGAGTGGTGTGTTCTGGAGGACAGGTGCAAGTGTCAGCTTTCAGGAGTTGCCTGGGGGCTGTTGATCCAGAGTCATCTGTGTGGTTCTTAAAGCAAACTGGACGTGGTCACATAGGAAGAGGATGAGGAGTGAGCAGAAGCAGCAGTGGTGTCCTGAGTAGGACGCTGCTGGGCAGGGGCAGGTTGACAGGGGCAGGTTGACAGGGGCAGGTTGACAGGGGGAGCCCAGGAAGGAAACTGAGGAGTTAGGAGGGTAGGAGGCATGGGTCATGTCACCGGAGGACTGAGTGGGCCCAGGCATATGTGCTGCAGTGGGGACACGTAGCCTGCAGGCAGGTCAGGCAGCCTGGGGCTCCACGGTGACTAGAACAAGGGCCAGGGTGGAAGCCAGACTGCGGCCCAGGGCCAGGGAGTGCCAAGGCTGAGGGTGCAGGGTGATGCAGGCAGCCCAGAGGGCATGCTGGGAAGGCTGGCAGGAGCCACATGTGGATGAGGCAGGGACAGTGACGCAGGGTGGGCTCACATGAGCAGGGGCCATAGAAGGCTGTGCCCATGAGCCTGGCAGGGGATGCAGTTTTGGCCCACCACTGAGTCTGTGGTGTCTGCAGAGAGTTCAGTGGCTCACCAAACTGAGTGGTCTTCTCGCCGGGTGGGGCATGGCCCTGGTGGGAGCAGTTGGTTGGACCCCAGTGCTGCTGTCGTCCCCTTGACAAAGTGGACCCTGAGTGGAGGGGCGTGCAGGCGGCTGGTGTCACGTGGCAGGACCTGTGTGTGATCTGTCTCTGGTGCAGGTCAGCCATGAGGAGCATAGGTGGCCCCTCAGCCCCATATTGACAAGCCTGTCATTTGTCCTGTGGAATGGACGTCATTTCATGGCCGTTCTCTTTTCTCTGCAGCTTACGGTTATTCCAGAAGTTTGACACGTTCCGGATTCTGGTTTGTGGTGGGGATGGAAGTGTTGGCTGGGTCCTCTCTGAAATCGACAGCCTCAACCTTCATAAACAGGTACCTGTACGGGAGGGAGCCCAGCCAGGAGCAGAGAGGGTGCGGAGGTTAGAGGGAAATCATGCAGTTTCAGCTCCTGTTCATCTCGGAGTACCTGTTCTCAGGCCAGAAACCATTGATGGTTTTGGGGAGTGTACAGTTTGGTGGCCAAGGCAGAGAGGGGAGAGCCCAGGCCACCCCCTGGCATCGTGGAGGCCCGGGGGCTCAGACCGTGATGTATGAGGGGGGCCTGAAGGGAGCTAGGAAAAGAACTGCTGACAAAGGACCCATGTGGGGAGCAGGACTGGGTGGGGCTGTTGCTTTACTGGGTAATTTTTGACTTGAGGCCTCTTGCTTGTGAGAAGGGGACGGCAGTATACTTGAATTTCTCAAGTCAGAGTCATGGTTCATTGGACTTAGTTTTTGTATTAAAATAAAAATAGATTTTCCTGATTGTATATAAAAGTGTTCATATATTCGTTGAATTTCCACACCTAGCCATGGCCTCCGCAGTTGATCAGCCAGTACCAGCATTTTGCTGTCTGTGGCCTCTCTCGATCACAGCACATAACATGCACAATGTGGTTGTAATTTAAACGGGCTGTTCTGTTACTGCTTTTGTTGTTGTTGTTGTTGTTGTTTGTTTGGTTTTGGGTTTTTTTTTTTTTTTTTTTTTTTTAGGTGGAGCCTTGCTCTGTCGCCAGGCTGGAGTGCAGTGGCGTGATCTCGGCTCACTGCAACCTCTGCCTCCCCAGTTCAAGTGATTCTCCTGCCTCAGCCTCCCAAATAGCTGGCACTACAGGTGCACACTACCACGCCCAGCTAATTTTTGTATTTTTAGTAGAGACAGGGTTTCTCCATGTTGGCCAGGATGGTCTCAATCTCTTGACCTCGTGATCTGCCCACTTCGGCCTCCCAAAGTGCTGGGATTACAGGCGTGAGCCACTGTGCTTGGCCTGTTACTGCTGTTTAAAAATCACTAAGATGTTGCACACACCTTCTGCCTGTGTCTGTAAGTAGGCATCCTTGTGTCGTTTTCCACTGGGCACACCCAGGAGCCCTGGGCCAGCTCACCTCTGTGTGTGAGCACGGAGATCACTTCCCAGTGGTCTCCTCTCTGGGCACACCCAAACTTAAGTATTGAAATGTGGGGACAAACTGCCTTTCCTCAGGGCTGTGCCAGCTTCCATGCCTGATGCCTCTTAAAGCTGTCCTTTCCCATGCACCATCCAAGCTGTTCATCTCTTTAGTTTTTGTCCAGCTAAGTAGGCCAAAAAATGTCTGATCTTTACTTAATTCCTGGTGAAGTTGAACGCCTCCTCAGTTGGTTATGAAGTTTTAAATAAATCAACCTGTTCATGTTTTTTTGCCTCATTTTCTCTTTGAATAGTCACCTTTTTTTCCTTCAAAAATGGATGTGTGGGGATTATTGTTACATTAACTTCTTATCTATCACTGCAGATATTTTTTTCCCAGTTTGTCATTTGTCCGTTCAACATCCTTTTTGGGGGGTGGTCTTTTCTTTCATGATTTTTGTCAACGTCTGTCATATTTGCAGCTGTCTACACCCCAAGATTAGGAAGATTTGCGTCTGTATTTTCTTATGTTTATTATGGCCCCATGTTTAAAAAATTCAGTCTTCCGTGTGACGTGGATGTATTTTTCAGTGATTCTGCAGTCCCTACCCAGCCCTGCTCACTTGGTAGTATTCCCAGGTGGGTGGACTTTGACAGCCTGGGCCAGGAGGCCAGTGGCTCAGGAGGAGAAGTGGTGCCGCCTGGTGGTGGATTAGCATAGACTACTCTAATTTTTGATTTTGTGTATTATTTGCAAGTTCACTGTCACTAGTTAGAAAGACAGTGGAACCTTGTGGCTGGTTTTCATACGTTCAGCCAAGGTCAGCACACATTTCTCTCCCCTGCTTCTCTTTGGCGCCGGTTGCGGCGGCCGTGCCCTCGCTGGGCCCCTACTGCCTTGGGGTTTCTTGTCTTCCTGGTCTTCCTGGCTGCTACTGCTCCATGGTGGCCTCTCCGTCCTTACCCTTACCTTAAGGCTGTGTCCGCAGAGCCTTGCTGGAGCCTCTCCTCCTTCACTTTTGGAACGCTCAGCGACTTGCAGGGCTTCTGCTGTCATCTCTGTCCTGGGGGCATCTCTGGATGCCTTGGGCCTTGGGCCTGTCTGGATGTCTCCTAGTGCTGCGAGTTTCCAACACTACACCATGTTCAGCCCGTGCCCTGCATTCCTTTCCTTCGAGTCTGAAAACATCCATCTAGATGTCTGAGCCAGGAAATTGGACAGTTGTTCTTGGTTCCTCCATCTCTTCCTCCTGCCTGTTTCTCACTAATTGTGGCCTCAATCCTGCCATCCACAGTACCCTGGCCTCTGTCCATCTGCAGCTCACCCAGGCAACCTTTCCCGGGGCACTTCTGCCTGTGCATCCCCCAAGCACGATGCTTCTGGGAAAAGTCCAGACCTTTAAGAGTTTGCCAGAGTCCCAGCTTTACCTCCTGCTTGTTCCTCTGCCTGTCTGCCTTCTGTTTCCTCACTGTCCTCCTCTTCACTGAGCTCTGCCTTGCCCTCCCAGTGTGGTGCCTCCCTGCCTGGAGCACCGTCTATGCCTGCTGTGCGCTGCTCTCCTTTTCCTTTAAGGCTCCAGGAAGCCCTTGCGGAGTCCTCAGCCCCTCTGGGCACTCTTCAGCGCTGGGTTCTCTCCATCTAGTATGTTGGCTCTGGTGTCCTGGCCTGCTTGCTCCCGCCTCCTCACTGCCAGATGTCCCCTTGGTGAGGCAGGACCTCCCCTGGTGTTTGCTGTCTGCACAGGCAGCAGGGCCTCAAGCATGGTCACTTGCACCTGGTGAGCAGAGGGCTGTACGGTGCTGTAGGCTGGAGCATGGCAGGATTCCTGCCTCAAGGACAGTAACGCCTCCCCACACACTGCACCACAGTGTGGCCCTGCAATGCATTGTGGTCACTGCATTGTCATGCACAATGCATGGCCCTGGTCACTGCATTGTCAGAGTCAGAGGCTGGTGAACTCTGGGCAGTGGGCGTTTCAAGAGGCCTCCTAAGCAATGAAGGGTGTAGTGGGATCTCATTGGAGCTCTGGGATGGGAATCCAGGTAGAGGGTGAGGCCTGAGCAATGGATGAGGTCTCTTCATGAACAGCAGGCAGGTGGGCAGAGGCTGAGCTCTGGCAAGGCTTCAGGGTGGCGTCCAGACTGAGAAGGGTCCTGGCGCCTTTTTTTGATAGGATTTAGAGGAGAGAAGTGACACTCGTGATGTTTTTGGAAGAAGAATTTGGCATTAGTGAGTGAGACGCTGTAGTGGATGGAGGGATGGGTGGCAAGACGTCAGAGAGAGTGATTCCTTGGGGCTGTGGTCATAGTGGTGAAAATGGGAAGCCGGGGGATTTGGGAGACAGATCAGAGAGGGTGTGAGGGGCTGACCATCAAAATGTGACGATAGCTGAGAGATGGACCTGTGGCTCATCCATTTCTCCCAGAAGCAGCATCTTATCTCAAGGGCAGTCATGTTTCTGTCTCATTGCCAAGGAAAATGTCTGTCCCCTCCAGTGGGCTCTGCCTATAATGTGCAAGCTGCATGGTTTTAGGTCACATCCCCACATTGCTGATGTAACCCTCATGATGGGTGACAAAGAGGGCCGCGGGCTGGGAGGTGGTCCCTGCCCCTAGGTGTTTGCCTGCACATCTTCCCCCGTGTTTCCTTAGTGTCAGCTGGGAGTGCTGCCGCTCGGCACGGGGAACGACTTGGCCCGAGTGCTGGGCTGGGGCTCAGCCTGCGATGATGACACCCAGCTCCCCCAGATCTTGGAGAAGTTGGAGAGAGCCAGCACCAAGATGCTGGACAGGTGAGTGGGGATATGCTGCAGTGCCGTATGAGGAGACTTTGAGAGACGGGTCCTCTCGACCGGGTGTTCTTAACCTGGGGTCTGTGGAAAACATGGGCCCTCTGAAATTATTTGTAAAGATTTGACCTGAGCATATATTCTGATGGTCTTTGATATTTGGTCAGATTATGACAAGGATAAAAACAAAACAGGTTAAGAACCAGCCATGCCCTAGAATGATCTGGTCTCCCCAGGAGGTCAAGCCTGAGCGTGTCAGGGCCGTGGAGAAGACGGCTGTGCCGTCTTTGGCTGCTTCAGCCCGAATCTCATACCCGTCGGAAAAGTGCTCCTTGTGCTTATTTGAACGGTTTCGTCTTGCCATAGTCTGTTCCCAGAAGAAGTTTTGGGAAATTATCCTCTAGTGCCTAAAGCCACTGTGATACCTTCCCTGAGTGAGGTACTGTTGTTCCAAGTGACACACTTGGCACTCGCTGACCTGTGGCACATGGGGCGCTGATGAGATGCCTCCTAGCCTTCCTAGTTGCTCCCAGAAGCCTGGAGTTCTGAGCACAGGTGTGGTGTTGCAGTGCCCCCACCTTTTCAGGCCTCCTCTGTGTGCCTTGGGGCCTGTGAAATGCTCATCTCACTGGGCCAACTGGCTGAGCCATTTGCAGCTCTCTTGAGGAGGGTAAATCCATTTCTCCCAGAAGCAGCGTCTTATCTCAAGGCAGCCATTTATGGGACACGTTCTTCTCTTTCATGGAGCTGTACTGCCGTTAGTTGTGGAGTGCAGACATTTGTTCTCAGCCAAGTTATGGGACAGAGTCAAGACCAAGGGCCTAAAAATGAAGTCAGAAACTGTGAGCGGAGGGCACAGGGTTCACCCTTGGGGGCCTGCACGTCTTGCCGCCTGTGCAGCTGACCTTGTATGTGCAGGTGGAGCGTCATGGCATACGAGGCCAAGCTCCCCCGACAGGCCTCCTCCTCCACCGTCACCGAAGACTTCAGCGAGGATTCCGAGGTATTGCTGGCCTGTTCACATCCTGCTCGCATGCTGTTGTGATCTGAACTGTCCTCTCAGCGCTTTGCATCACCTCCCTTGCAGAGACGCCTCCCCTTTGGTGATGGGGTGTCATAGTCAGGCCTGCGGAGGCGCAGGGTGAACCCATGGCTGAGGGGATTCTCACTTCCCTTGGCAGGGGCCTTTTGGGCTTTGTGACCCTCTAGGGGCTTCCTGCGGTTGTCAAAGGCCCTGCCGGGCCGGGGGTGGGGGTGGTCCTCCTAATGGCCTTCCCACCCTGTCCATGCATCTCCTCAACTGCTCAGTGAGCCCCAAACGGTGTGCGCCTGTTCCCTCCCCTGCCACGGTGCCCACAGGCCTGGAACGCTCTAGCCAGCTGTGCCGTGGCTCTCCCCCAGCCCCCAGCTCCTGCCCTGTTACACCTCTCTGTGGCGTCCGCAGCTGCCCTTCGCTCAGCCTCCTCTAGTCCAGCTGGTAGTTCTTTTCATTTGGTGATTGTTACTGTTGTGTTTTACGCCCCTACAGGTTCCCTCAGAGAATAGACTTTGTCGTCTTTAGTTTATATTTTGTGCTGGTGCAGTGCTGGGTGGGGTAGTACAAAGAGGTGAGCTTTTGTCAGAGGCTAGGACAATGGTCTGCAAACAAGGCCTGTAGGCCAGATGTGCCTGGGCCCACGGCCTTGCAAGCCAGTAATGGTTTGTACATTTTTAATTTTTCCTTTTTTTTTTTTTTTTTAAATTTTGAGAGGAAGAATGTGTGTGGGAAGCCCAGAATATTCGCTGTCTGGCCAGTAGTGAAGTTTGCTGACCCTGGGGCTGGGTCCTAAAGACAGCAGGGATCCCACAGGGATAGGGCTGCTCTTCTGACAGGCAGAGCAGATGGTAGGGGGAAGAGTGTGTTCAGATGGCGCTCACAGCCAGGTAGAAACAGCCTCTGCTGCCAACGGACCCAAACCTGGAGCTGACCCATGAGCACACTGCTGTCAGGATGAGTAGGGGTCAGAACAGCCCCTAGCGCAGGCTGTGCTGGGATCACAGACTGAAGGAGATTCATTTGTAGTTTGTCTGCAGCTTGACGAAGCTTTTAAAATCTTTCACCTAGCACTAGGTGAGTCTCAGATTAACGTTTGAAGTGAGTCGAGGCTTGGCTGGGTCAGACAGTGTCTGTTAGGAGAGACTCATCTTTCCCAGCCTGTGCTGGCAAGGAAGTAGGTGACAGAGTCACTGGGACTGTCACAGAGCTTGCTGTCACAGAGACCAACAGTCCTGGCCATTTGGGGTGATTGCAGGTACAGCAGATTCTCTTCTATGAAGACTCGGTTGCAGCCCACCTTTCTAAAATCCTTACCTCGGACCAGCACTCGGTGGTCATCTCCTCGGCCAAGTGAGTGCCTGGTGGCCCTGGGGAAGGCATGGTGCCCTGACTCCCCAGCCTGGAGCTGCCTCTCTAGAAGGGTCTTTCTGTTTCTCTCCCCACAGAGTGCTCTGTGAGACGGTGAAGGACTTCGTGGCCCGGGTGGGGAAGGCCTATGAGAAGACGACCGAGAGCTCGGAGGAGTCAGAGGTCATGGCCAAGAAGGTCTGTTCCCGTGCCCTGGGTGGGAGGGGCATTGAGGCAGCGAGAAGCTTCCTCTGACACCAGTAGAGGGCCGTGACTGCAGGTTGTCCAGGTTCTTGGCGTTGAACAAAGAATTAGACAATACGCACAGTAAAGGAAGAAAAGAATGAAGCAACGAAGAATGAAAGCAGGGATTTATTGAAAATGAAAGTACACTGCAGTGTGGGAACTGCCCGAGCATCGGCTCAAGGGCCCAGATACAGAATCTTCTTGGGTCCAAATACCTCTTAGAAGTTTCCCATTGGCCACTTCATGCTCACCTCATGTAAATGAAGTGGTAGTCTGCAGTCAGTCTGATTGGTGGCAGAAAGCAGCTAACCAGAGGCTGAAGTGGTTACAAAGGTCACACTCCTGTGCAAACATCTGATTGCTTTTTGCAACCAATCAGAGGCTACAGAAATTATAAAGTTGCACTTCTGTGCAGACTAAGACTCAGCCCGGAGTCAGTTTGGTTGGTTGCAGACAGCCAGTTTCTCCTATTTTCCACCTGCCTGGGCAGAAAAGGTGGGGATTTGCAAAGGGAGTAGCCTCTGGTCCTTTTGTTACTGAGGCGTGGAGAGTTAGGATTTTCCTTTTGATTGAGTTCTAGGAAGTGTGGGTGAAATGGCCTGAGGTTCCCTGCCTCCAGACCCTGTTCTCCTGCCTCAGCTCTGTGTGCCATTTCCTTTCCTTGTTCAGTGCTCTGTCCTGAAAGAGAAGCTGGATTCGCTTCTCAAGACCTTGGACGATGAGTCCCAGGCCTCGTCCTCTCTGCCCAACCCACCCCCGACCATTGCTGAGGAGGCTGAAGATGGAGATGGGTCGGGCAGCGTCTGTGGCTCCACCGGGGACCGCTTGGTGGCATCAGCCTGCCCGGCCCGGCCGCAGATATTCCGGCCTCGAGAACAGCTCATGCTGAGAGCCAACAGCCTGAAGAAAGCGATTCGTCAGATCATAGAACACACAGAAAAAGGTGACTGTCTTTTGAGGAGGAGGGGGTTTTCCCCAGCACTGGGCATGCCCAGCGTCCCCTGAACACAGTGATGACGGAAGGGTGCTCGTTGAGAAAACCTCCACCGTGGCCCTCTCCACCTGTGTGCAGGCGCCAGGCCCCCAGCCAGTTCGCTTGCCCTCCCTCCACCCCTCCTCTCACACCCTCAGACCCCTTCATGCTGCCTCCCGTTGACCTCTTTCCTAGCCCTCATTGACTTCGCTATAAGCGTCTCACTCCTGTGAGACCTGCGGTCATGGTCTCACACCCGCACACCTGCGTGTCCATGTGGCCGCTCCTTCTGCCTGCAGCCCTCCAGCCTTCGCCAGGCTCCTCTGCACCCCTTGCCTTCCCCTGCGAGGGTTCCAGTCCTCCCAGCCTGTTAGCAGGGATGCCCTGCCCCAGTGCCAGGACCAGGGGGAAGATGGGTGGGGGTGGGGGTTCAGAGTCCAAGCCTTTAGCCAGAGGATGTTTGAGGAAGATCAGGCCGTGGGGTGAGGAGGGGACCTCCACCTAGCCTGACAGTGCCCTTGGCTTTGCACCTGCGTGCTCAGCCGCACACACTCTCCTTGTACAGCTGTCGATGAGCAGAATGCCCAGACCCAGGAGCAGGAGGGCTTCGTCCTGGGCCTCTCTGAGTCAGAGGAGAAGATGGACCACAGAGTGTGCCCACCACTGTCCCACAGCGAGAGCTTCGGGGTCCCCAAGGGGAGGAGCCAGCGCAAAGGTACCCATGGCTCCACCTCCCTCTGCGTACCTCGGTGTGCTTGGTTTTGGTGAGACGTAGTGGGATTGCCAGGGGAGGTTTTAGGGCACTTTCTCATAGTTGCTTTGGCCACTTGGTTGCATAAAAATTCACCGCCCAAGGCCTGTTTCTGTACATCTCCTGTGCGTGCCCTTGAGGTGTGTGTGGTCTGCCTTGGTGGACACCAGTAGAACCCACAAGACCCCCTCCTTCAGGGCGAGGACTGCCTCCCTGAGGAGCACTTGCGTTCTGCCCTCACTGCTTCCTCAGAACCACCCTGGACCCCACAACTGCTCGGAAGGGGCTGTGTCTGGCAGAGGGAAGGTGGGTAGGTGAGGGGGGGCCGACTTTGTCCTTGCCCCTTCTGGAACAGTCCACAGCGTAGGCCCTGGTGGAGGGTACCCCAAGCCTGTTCTGGCTGCTGGGAGGCCTGTGCTCAGAACTGACCCACGGCCACTGCATGGCCACCACTCAGAGCTCTGCTGTGTGTGCGCTCTGCCTCCCACAGCCCAAACTGACCGGGCTCACCCCTCCCTCCAGCACTGCCACCTGTGGCCTGTTACCCTCTCCATGAGCCCAACCCCCTGAGCATCATGTGCACCCACTCGGTCCTCCGCCCCCTTCTTTGTCCCACACACTTCACGCAACTGCCTGTGGTTTGCAGCCCTCCCTCCTCAGCCCTCCCACCTGCTCTTGTTGCTAAGGACTCCCCAGTATTTCACAGCCTGTATTTCAGACAGCTGTTCACCTGCTCATGTCACTAAGGACCCCTCAGGTATTTCACAGTCTCTATTCCAGACAGCTGTAAGGTTTTCTGTTCTGTTGTTACAGTGTTGAAATCTCCATGTGAAAAGCTGATCAGCAAAGGAAGTCTGTCCCTGGGCAGTTCTGCTTCCCTTCCACCCCAGCCGGGAAGCCGGGACGGCCTGCCTGCACTCAACACCAAGATCCTGTACCCAAGTGAGTGGCGGCCAGCAGGAGGGACTGGTGGGGGCTCTAGCACAATGCTGGGCCTGTCGCTGTGCTGGGCGCTGGGTCTGTCAAACTGAAAGAGATGGAGTTGCTGCCCTTGGAAAGTTTACAGGTCCCTGAGAAAGATAGGTGGAATTTAAAAATTTACACAACTGTGTGAAAAGTGCTGCTTTTTTTAAAAAAAAAACAAAAGCCAATTAGTACCCAGATAACCACCCAAGGAGCCCAGGAAGACGTCATTGAGAAGGTGATGCTTGAGTCAGATTTTGAGGAATAAAGGAATTAGATTTCTGAGTGGAAAAGGGAGGTGGCCGGCCTGATGAGGGAACCCGAGGGACCGTCCCATGCTTCTAGCGTGATTGCAGGAGGTGCAGGGAGGGTGAGGTCCTGGCTGCCTGGAGCATTCCTTGATGTTCATTTCTTATGAAGGCAACCTTATAAAGCCTTAAGCCTCAACTCTCAGAGATCATTTTGGTGGAGTGGCTTACATTTGATGAGAACATGAAAACTGACTCTATAAGCCTTTTTTTTTAAAAAAAAAAAAAAAAAAAAAAAGAGGCGCTCTCTCTATTGCCCAGGCTGGAGTGCAGTGGTGTGGTCATGGCACACTGCATCTTGACCTCCTGGACTCAAGTGATCTTCCCCACTCAGCCTCCCAAATAGCTGGGACTACAGGCACACACCACCACACCCAGCCTTAGAAGCCGTTTTTTAATGTGTTTTGTAGGTGTTGGTTTCTGCCACCCAGTGTGGTTTTTTTGTTCGAGTGATTTTTGACCTAAGGCTATTGGCGAAATTTGGACATGGTTATACATAATTTTAGAAACATTTAATTATGATAATATGCTGCAGAATACCGGTCCACCAGCTTCAGACACACGGGCTTCTCTTAAGTCTGTAGCTCCTGACCAGCACACCTCTTTCTTATATCTCCTTTACAGATGTCCGGGCTGGAATGTCTGGTTCCTTACCCGGTGGCTCAGTCATCAGTCGCCTGTTAATTAATGCTGATCCCTTTAACTCTGAACCAGAAACCCTGTGAGTATGAGGGATAAACCAAGTGGGCGTATTGTTACATGGCTGCTAGTGCATAGAAAGCAGATCTCAGGGTTAACTAGAGAAATCGGTGGTAGCTGATAAGGAAGGCTGAGAAGTCGTGGAGATTCCACTTAAGGAGTGGACCTGGAAACCACTACTGCACATCTGCAGAGGCAAAGCGCACGCCTCCCACCTCCTTCCCAAGGTCCCACAGTGCTTGCTCGATGTCCCCTGAGCCTCCGTGCCCTTCCGAGGCTTTTCACAGGCTCAGCTGCTCCTGCCGGGAGCTGCCCTTGTGCTGCTCTTCGTGTTCACTCTCCCATGACCTTGGCTGGACCTCACTGACTTCTGCTTACAGCCTGCCATCTTCCTCTTGCCATCCCTCCCCCTGCTTTCCTCTAAAACCTGCTCTCCTTGTTGGTGACACAGAACAATAGACTCTGGGCTGGAGGGTCCTCTGTGTGCCCCCTTCGTGTCTTCGAGCACCCTAGGGAGACACCGGCCTGTGCTGAGGCTTGTAAGGGCTGCTTGTGTGCCTGCGTGCTGACACTGCTACTCCACTGGGGACAAGGCCTTCTTCCTCTGCTGGCCTGTAAGGCAGTGAAGACATGTGTATAACAGTTTAATGGAGTCTTCCTAGGTATTGGAGACCATTGTGGAGACAAGTGGTGTTTTGAAAACCTGTTTAGATTTCTAGACTCATCTTTCTGCTGGCTGATTGCAGGTTCTGGGCAGCTGATGGCAGTTGGTTAAACATGGCCAGCCATTTTTCTGGAGTGGTCAGGGGCAGTGACAGGAAGAAATGTGTGGTTCACAGAGGCTCTGGGTTTGGGAAAGTGGACCCCTAGATTCCAGGTGCTGGCCTGGTGCAACACTAAAGTGTCCCTGTTCCTGGCCTGGTTTACTCCTCCCCTGGGGCTGCCTGGGGCTCCAGTTCTCAGCCCTCCTGAGGCTGTTTTCCTTGGGGAGGCCAGAGCTGCAGTCCAACAGTGAGCACCGTCCCTAGGGGCCCCTGAACTGGGTATCTCCTTTGTCTACTTCATCTGAGACTGTGGAACTTCCACCTCTGTTGCTAAGCTGGGTGGTCTTATCTCTTCTCTTCACCTGGGGAGACAAAGCTGTGGTTTGCTGCCTTCCTGCCGTGGTGTGTGCCTGGGCCGTATTATGTAGGCCCCATTGCAGCTGGGCCTGAGCAGGCCCCGGCACCCCATCATCTCCCACTGCCCCGGCCACTGCTGCCCTTCCTGCTCCAGGCCCCTGAGCCCAGTCTGTCTGCTGCCTTCCCTCATCTCTTTGCCCTGTTTCTCTCCGTTGGATCTCTCTCTTTTCCCAGGACCTATACATGCTGGCTAGGCACGTGGTCTTCCGCCTGGTAAACAGTTTTGTCCCAGAGCTTTGCTCTGGCTCAGCTGTCGGGCACTTGAATTAGATGGATCATAAATACACTGACACGTGCTGGTTGCTCTCAGATCCGGCGGCACTGGCTCAGTAAGCGAAAGTGTGTCAGAATTCTGGCCTGAGCAATGTTCCCAGGCCCATCCACCCATTGAGTTTCTTTGGAAACTTCCAGAACATCCTCTTCTCCTGGCTGTAGCCTCTGGGTGGAGGAACAGGGTTTCTTCCCTTCATCCACCTGCCCTGGGGGGGAGCCCCAGTGTGACCCTGGGGCTGGGGAGGGTGAAGGCCAGGCTGAGCTTTCCCAGCAGCTGGGGGAGCTGCAGGGGCAGGACTTCCCGCTGGGTGGGGACAAGAAACTTGAATGAGATGAGTCTCTTCTTGTCTGTCGCACGTGGGGAAAGGGAAGCCTTGTTGCTGTGGGGCTGGCATGGATGTTTTCAAGTCATTTTCCTTTGTAGTTTGGCGACAGCTTTGATTGTAACTAGGGATGTTTGAGAAATGTTTTGAGATCCAGAATTGAAATGTGTGAGTTTCTGTGCCGTAAACATATCTTCAGGTTTGGTGCTGCTGGTGGAGTGTAAGATGGGCAGCTGCTGTGGGGAACAGTCCGGCAGCTCCACTGGAGGTTCAGCCCAGAGCTGCCGTGTGACCAGCAGGCGCAGAACTGCCGGGCCATGTGGGATTGAACTGAAAACATGTCCACGCTGGAAGCAGGGCTGTTGTAATTGATTTAAAACTCACCTTTGCAGAGAGTATTACACAGAGAAATGTGTCATGAACAACTATTTTGGCATCGGCCTGGATGCAAAGATATCCCTGGACTTTAATAACAAGCGCGATGAACACCCAGAGAAGTGCAGGTAGGTAACAGGCTCAGGGGCGTGGCTTCTCCTTCCAGACAGTAGCAGATTTCTGGATTCAGCAGGTTAAAGAACGTGCAGAATGCTAAGGGTGGGGGCAGAAGTAGCGCCCAGATTTCCTTGTCAGAAGCACGGGTGCTTTCAGAGATGGAAGGGAAGCACCTCTCGGGCTGGCCAGGTCAAGGGAAATTCAACATCAGAAAACCAGTGATGGTGGTCATTGGAATGGCTGCGTCTCTTAATGAGAGGCCTGAGTCCGTGATACTACAGAAAAGCGGCAGGTGTGCCAAGAAGTTATTGCACCTATAGCGTAAGTGCCCAGCATTGTTTGTTGGAGGGTCTGTGTGTTCATCGGCACCCCAGCTAGCCCTCCCCCATCACACCCGAGCCTGCCCACGAGGCCCTTGAGTCCGACCTCTGCAGGAAGATGGTGGCGTGTGAGCCCCAAGGGACATCATTGGGGATGCTCAGTTTTTTTCCCCTAAAATTACTGGATACTCGGTCTTGATCTGAAGAGAGGATGGAGAAAAATGAGAAGGGTCCCTCTTCTCAAGCTTTTTTTCTTGGGCTGAAGTAGAATTCCCTCTTGTCTGTGAAACACAAGAAGTGAGGGAGAAATGTCTCCCACCCCACCCCACAGTAATAACCGGAGAGACCGTTCAGCTTTGACATGATTAGAACTAGGGCGAGGGAGAAATGGGTGTGGGTTTGACGGTGTTTGTGCAGAGAATAGCCCTTGACCCAGAAGCTGGGAGACCCCTGCTGGATTCTTCATCCGCTGAGTCAGGATTGGCTTGAATGAACCAAGCCACGTGGTCCCATGTGGCCTCATCCTTCTCATGGTGTCACTGCCACCTTGAGGGGAGCCATGGTGACACCTGAGGGGCCAACTTTAGTCATTGCTCACATTATATGTAGTTGGAAATTTCTAGGAAAACAAAAGCATCAGAACTCAAAGAACTTTTGAACCCTGAGGCTGTTACGTGCAGGAGAAAATGGCTCAGAGGCCCCAGGGACATATCCCTGTACAGCACAGGATGGTGACATCAGATCATTTAAAAATCCCTATTAGTCCAAAAATCACTGGGAAAAGTATTAAAATACACATACTTTAGCAGGGTGAAATAAGTAGTTGAGGAACAGGGGCATGCATAATACATTTCTAGAGCCTTGGAACCCTGGTCAAACCTCTCTTTAGTTTGTATTGAGAGCTTTGAAAAGTTCTCCTGAGAAAAATTCCACTTCCACAAATGTCATTGGAAATTTCTACAGAAGTCACTGGAAATGTTGGTTGAAGTAGGTACGAAGGGGCTCCTAGTGTGTCGTTTACAGAGCTTGGGCATGGGGCGAAGGAGTGTAGTCAAGGGGATTGGTTTGATAAGCTGTGGTAGAGCAGTGCCGGCTGAGGATGGCCACGTCTGCAGAGAGCGTGTGGCGACAGAGGGAAGTGTTGCTGGCGTAGGGTAAAGTGGACCAAGTAGGTGGTGAAACCATAAACAAGTTACTGCAACTGGAAATAAATATGCAAAGAAGACTGAGGAAATCCACAGCAGCACTGGGCATTTGTCATTAGCACACGTGGAGGGTGCATACAGGTGCTGGATTATGCATGGAGGATTATGAGGAGTGCCTTCTCTTTGGTGCTTTTCTATAGTTTCTAATTTTTCTATGGTGAGCATAATTTTTTAGGCAGAAAAAAAATCAGGATGTGAAGTTTTTTTTATAGAGTTCTATAATGTTTTGACTTTATTTATTTACCTTTCAGGGTATGGTTACTTCCTTGGCAAAATGTTACTATTTAGCAAAATTTCCCATTGGTAAACATATCTCTTTATGCATATCTGCAAAAATAAAAATGTGTCCTTCAGTTGTTACTGCTGTAAATAATTGCTAAATGTAGCTGATTTGTGGGTCAGATGCCATTCCCAGCTTTCACAGAAATGACTCTGGTTAACTGTACGAAGAAAGCCCAGACCCATGGCAAGTCTTTGCTTCTGGTTCTAGGAGCCGAACCAAGAACATGATGTGGTATGGAGTTCTTGGAACCAAAGAGTTGCTGCACAGAACCTACAAGAACCTGGAACAAAAGGTCTTGCTGGAGGTGAGTGGGAGGGTCCTTGTCACCTGCAGGCCGGCCTCCATCCATCAGCAGACTGCCAGGCCTGTCGCTTCTCCTGTTGACCATTTCCTCCATGCACAGGGACTTGCCTGGAGATGCCCTGGCCACCGCTGTGCTCCCGAGCCCCTGGCGGTGGGAAGCTGGTAGAGAAGGAGGAGCTGACTCATGCCTTTCTCTTTTCTTTTGTTCTGTGTCTTTGCTGCTCAGTGTGACGGGCGACCCATCCCACTCCCCAGTCTTCAGGGAATTGCTGTCCTTAACATTCCCAGCTATGCCGGAGGAACCAACTTCTGGGGGGGAACCAAGGAAGATGATGTATGTATGGGGTGTGGGCGGGTGGGCCTGAGCTGAGTGGGGAAGAGCTGTCCGAGAGCAGGGAGGTGTTCTGCTATGGCTGCGGTGGATCCAGCCCTTCCCTTGTGCCAGCAGTGGGGCTGCCATGGAGAACAAGATAGACAGGGTCCCCCACCCAGCTCATCGTCTAGAGGGCCGAGCAGAGCAGATGTGTCAGTGAAGGTGGTCAGTGAGGGTCTGTGGTCAGCAGATGTGGTCAGAGGGTGTGATGTGGAAGGAGGGTCAGGGAAGGTGTCTGGGAGGCCAAGATCTGAAGGATGACTTGGAGTTGGCCAAGTTAGGTGGGCAGAGGAGAAGGGGAGGCTCTTCCAGGCAGAGAGAATTGCATAGATGAAGGCTCAGAGTCAAGACAGGGCAGGCACATGGAGGATGTGGGAGAGGTGCCCTGACTGCAGCGGGCAGCAGGAGTGTGGAGAGAGAGGAGAGGTCTGCAGGGCTTGGGTCACATTGGGCCGTGTGAGCCGGAGAAGAAGTTTGGAATTTGTATTAAGAACTGTGGGAAGGTGTTTATAGGTTTAAAGCTGGTTTAAACCTTCCTTTGTACGTACTAGCGAATAGAAATATTCAGCGCTTCCTGCACACGTGGTGTGTGCTGTCCCCAGTCCTGGCACTCTGCAGTGTTAACTCACTCGGCCCTACTGATGGCCCTGGAGGAGCGTGCCATTAGTTTCCCCATTTTACATATGAGGAAATGGGGGGGAGAGAGAGATTCAGTAATTTTGCCAGGGTTAGAGCTGGGATTTGGACCCAGGCAGCTGGTTTCAGGGCCTGCAACATGAGGCCCCTCAGGAGTGCGGTTACCTGGTAACTTCCTGCCAGCTGGGAGGGGCTGACCCCGAGAGGGAGGGAGCGAGGGTAGGGGTGGTCTGTGCGGGGATGTGTGGAGTGGTGGTCAACTCTAACGTATCCCTTGCAGACTTTCACAGCTCCATCATTCGATGACAAGATTCTGGAGGTGGTCGCCGTGTTCGGCAGCATGCAGATGGCCGTCTCTCGAGTCATCAGGCTGCAGCATCATCGGATCGCCCAGGTAGTGGCCATGGTCGTGGGGTGCCTGGCCGGGAGTGTGCTAAATTCTCGGGCAGCGCTTGGAGACTGGGAGGGTGGGTGCTTTCCAGGGCCACGTGGCTGCCTCATGTCCTGTTCTGGACAGCTCGTGGCCCCACTTCCTGGGCCAGAGCCCTTTCCTCGTGCTATGCTTGACAGTTAAATTCTCAAGATAACTCTTTTCTTTCTTTTTTTTTTTTTTGAGACAGAGTCTCACTGTGTTGCCCTGGCTGGAGTGCAGTGGTGCATTCTTGGCTCACTGCAACCTGCATCTCCCTGGTTCAAGTGATTCTCCTGCCTCAGCCTCCCGAGTAGGAGTAGCTGGGACTATAGGCACCCACCACCATTCCCAGCTAATTTTTGTATTTTTAGTAGAAGCGGGGTTTCACCATGTTGGCCAGGCTGGTCTCGAACTCCTGACCTCAAATGATCCACCTATCTCGGCCTCCCAAAGTGTTGGGATTACAGGCGTGAGCCACTGCACCCGGCCAAGATAACTCTTTCAAAATGTGTATCCCGCTTGAGCCCCAGCCTTGCCTGTCCCCTCTGAGGTGGAATGAGATAGAGCACACCCAGGGTGAACTCTGCCTGTGTCTGCGGCTTTCAAAGCTGCAGCTGGAGGTGGGGACGGAGCCCATGGCTCTGGTGTGGGGTGTGGGGGGATTTCCATGGGGCCCTTGATCACGGTTCTGAGGCCGAGTGGTGAAGGGCTGGGAGTGCCCCCATGGCTTATTTCTGACAGCAGTGATGGGCTGATGGGGCAGGACTCTGTGCCCAGGCATAGGCACTGGGGCGGGGGAGGGTGCTGATGCCACCCACTGGCTGAACCCCAGCCTGCGACTGTCTGGTCTCTTCCAGCACTCTGTCTACCCTTAGCTGTAGGCTGCTTGAAGTTCACAATTTTCACTCTTTGGCAATGTTTGTTGTTGAAAAAGAGGAATAGGATGATGTTGGATGGCTCATCGTCATCCACGATGCCATCTGCTCTTTTCTGGGGATGTTTTCACGTGGCAGGGGCCCAGTGGCTGCTGGGAGCTACGACACCCCTGCCCCTGGGTTCTGACACCTGTTGTCTCAGCACCAAGGTCTCCTGCACTGACTGCTCAGTGAGGGGACGGGGCAGAATGGGGCGGGACAGTGGGAGAACAGACCCTTGGCTCGGTGACACAACAGCAGAAGGCTAGCTGCAGGCGGAGTGCCATCCCAGAGGCGGAGGTGGGGTGTCCTGCAAGGCAGGGACGCGTGTGTGGAACAGGAAGGTCGTGGTGGTGCCGACAGCACTTTAAAACCCCTGGGGGTTTTGGCTCAGCACGAGTAATGGCTATGATGTCTGCTCAGTGTCGCACAGTGAAGATCTCCATCCTTGGGGATGAGGGCGTGCCTGTGCAGGTGGACGGAGAGGCCTGGGTCCAGCCGCCAGGGTACATTCGGATTGTCCACAAGAACCGGGCACAGACACTGACCAGAGACAGGGTAAGAGCGGCCACCCGCGGTACCTGGGTGGGGTCCAGGGCTCACCTGCAGGCGCTTGTGTGCACTGTTAAGAGCTGGAGCTTTTTGTGTTTTGTTCTAGGATTTTTTTTTTTAAGACACAACGATTAAACTAATAGGGCAGTAATTTCTAGGACCATCTCCTTCCCCTAATGTTTAAGAAAAAAAAATCCCATTTGTCCCTTTCCTAGTTGTGATCTCATTGGTGTCCCCATAGTGTCTGTGGCGGTTAGACGCATGCTTCAGGGCAGCAGGTGTAATCGGGCTCTCGGGTCCATAGGCATTTGAGAGCACCCTGAAGTCCTGGGAAGACAAGCAGAAGTGTGAGCTGCCCCGCCCTCCATCCTGTGCCCTGCACCCGGAGATGCTGTCCGAGGAGGAGGCCACCCAGATGGACCAGTTTGGGCAGGCGGCGGGGGTCCTCATTCACAGGTGGGCTCCTGCCCCTCTGCGTTGCCCATGAGCCCCCCCGGGGTCCCCAGGACTGCGCTCCTCCAGGGCCCCTGGGGCGTAGAGCTGCTGCTCCTGATTTTTGCGGGGTCTGCATTACCCATGAGGGCCAAGCCTGTTTCCGTGTGCCCTCAGCTCTGGCTCATTTCCCCAACGGTCTTTCAGAACTCACCTGGAGTTTACTTGGCTGGATCTTAAAACCCACTGTGATTTTCAGGGCCACTCATTTAAAACCTGCCCTGGCTCAGCCTGGCGTGGTGGCTCACGCCTGTAATCCCAGCACTTTGGGAGGCCGAGGTGGGCGGATCACGAGGTCAGGAGATCGAGACCGTTCTGGCTAACATGGTGAAACCCTGTGTCTACTAAAAATACAAAAAAATTAGCCAGGCGTGGTGGCGGGCACCTGTAGTCCCAGCTACTCGGGAGGCTCAAGCAACAGAATTGGTTGAACCCGAGACGCGGAGGTTGCAGTGAGCCGAGATCGTGCCACTGCACTCCAACTTGGGTGACAGAGCGAGACTCCGTCTCAAAAAAAACCAAAAAAACCCTGCCCTGACTCCCAAGGGCAGCCGCTGACAGCCTCCTTCACTTTGCCCTCATTTTACCCTGAGAACAGGCTTGCTCTTTGTTTTCAAGTTTACTTAAAAAAAAAAAAAAGACAACTGCTAGGGGCATTTCCTCTCACCTGCCTTCTAGAAATGCCCCTGGAGCCACTGTGTCTGTCCCTCGTGGCCGGTGGTCAGCAGTGTCTGCTGTCCCTGCTCCTCGCCTGCCCTGTGCGGGTGCCGCTTGTGAGCCCCTCCAGCTGGCACCTGTGGTTCTTCACCGGTACAGGGCCTTCCTGCCTGCATTCTCCCCGTGGCTGCACGCTGGCTGGTGCCCTGGTGTCCCTTTCTTGTTTCCTCCGGGCTCCCTCTTCTCCTGGCTGTGGATGGGTGCACCCGTCGGTTCTGTGCCCGGCGTGCTGTGTGCCCTTCCAGGCAGCCTGCCCAGCCCTGGCGTGCAGATGGATCATCTGTGCCAGCCTCCAGCTCTTGTTGAGCAGGTGGTCGCTGTCCCAGTCATTGCCAACGTTCCTCGCTCTGCACTTCCATACCGGCTGCAGTCCTTCCTGGCGCCGCATTCTCTGCCCCAGGAGTTGGTGCCACTGCGGCCCCTGTCCTCATCTCTCTCCCGCCCCACCCAGATCAGTGATGGGGCTGGAGGACTTCAGTTCAGCTAATTCCTTGCTATGCAGTAGGCTTCTGGTGGCCTCCCCTGGAAGGCCATTACCCTGTCCCCTCAAAGCCCATGGTGGCCCCTGTGGCCTGCCTGGAAGGTGCACTTGCACAGCACTGCAGGAAGCTGCTGGCAGTGGCCTATTTCCACAGGGTCAGGACAGGTTGGTCCCGCTGTCTCTGCTTGCACTGCTCCTATAATCTCTGTCCTTCCATCTCACCTGCCTGAGCCACGTCTCCGCCTCCCTGAGACCTGGTGTGACTTGTGCTTTCACCGTCTTCCCCATAAAGGCTGCTGCCTGGGGTCTGGCTCAGAGCCCATCACTACACGAGGATTGTCCTCTTCAGATGAGGGTCCTTTTGTCCCCAGGGACAGACCGGCCAGCTACAGGTTCCAGCAAGGCTGTGGGCATCTGGGGATTGTGCCTTATTGTAGCAGTCTCTGCAGTGGGCATGTGCACACTGCTGCTTGCCCACTGACCGTTTTATAGCTTGGAAGCCTCATTTTGTACATTTCTCTCCCTGGAAAATCTTGAATTTTGATATCAGATGACTCCTGTAAGCCCTCCCATTTGCTGTTGGTCGTCCTGTGCCCAAGCTTGTGACTGAACGGTTGCTGGGCTGAGCCACGATCCCTGTGGTCCTGCTGGGCCTGCCCTCCGCATCAGCCCTCCGGGTGGTAGCTGGGCTGTGTTCAGATGAGTATTGTGAAAGGCTGCCCTTCCATTTGGCCTGACATCTGCCCGTGCTTCTCTTCCTCTCTAGTATCCGAGAAATAGCTCAGTCTCATCGGGACATGGAGCAGGAACTGGCCCACGCCGTCAATGCCAGCTCCAAGTCGATGGACCGGGTGTATGGCAAGCCCAGAACCACAGAGGTAGCTATTCTGGCCTTTTCAGTCTTGGCTTCTCCTCAGCGTCTGCAGCCCTTGGCCCTCCCCATGCATGTTTGCCTTGGTTTCTCCTAGGGGCTGAACTGCAGCTTTGTCCTGGAAATGGTGAATAACTTCAGAGCTCTGCGCAGTGAGACGGAGCTGCTGCTGTCTGGGAAGATGGCCCTGGTAAGCTGGTGCCCCGGGAACAGCAGGGCTTGGGCTGTGTGTGAAACCACTGCTATCGCCAGGTTGCTGGAAATAGAGGGCAGCACACCTTAGTCCAGAGTTCCTGGCCTTAAGGAAGGGGCCTCAGAGGTCATTTGGTCTGTCGTGCGGCTGGTGCCCACCCCTGCTGGCAACCCTTCAGTCAAGTTGTCTCAAGCACGCAAGAAGCGCTTGCAGCAGGAACACCTTTGTCATAGTGGACACAAGATGCTTTTCTGGACACAAGAAACCTATACTGCAGAGTCCTGCTCCTGCCGAGAGCTGGTCACACTCTCAGGCACCTTGCACGCTCAGCCCTGCAAAACCGGCTGATATGGCAGCCCTGGGGCAGCCACGGGGCTGTTACTAAATCACAGCGGCTAGAACAGGGAGAGGCCTCAGAGAAGAACTGGCCAGCCTTGTGGTTTTAAAGATGAAGAGGAGGAATGGGTTTGCTAAATATTCGACAACCGGAGAACCACCCCAGGTGTGGTTTCCCAGCCCTCAACTCCTCACCCCACGAATCTCTTCATCCACAGAAATCATCATTCCACACATCTCCTCACTCCACACGTCTCCCCACTCCACATGTCTCCCCACTCCGCCCATCTCCTCACTCCACGCATCTCCTCGCTCCACGCATCTCCTCGCTCCACGCATCTCCTCCCTCCACGCATCTCCGCACTCCACGCATCTCCGCACTCCACGCATCTCCACACTCCACGCATCTCCCCACTCCACCCATCTCCCCACCCCGCGCATCTCCCCTCTCCGCGCATCCCCCCTCTCCGCGCATCTCCCCTCTCCGCGCATCTCCCCTCTCCGCGCATCTCCCCTCTCCGCGCATCTCCCCTCTCCGCGCATCTCCCCACTCCGCGCATCTCCCCACTCCACACACCACCTCACTCCACACACCTCCTCACTCTACACACCTCCCCACTCCACACATCTCCCCACTCCACCCATCTCACTCCATGCATCTCCTCACTCCACGCATCTCCACACTCCACACATCTCCTCACTCCACACATCTCCCCACTCCACACATCTGACTCCACACATCTCCTCACATCTCCACACTCCACTCATCTCCTCACTCCACACATCTCCCTACTCCACACATCTCCTCACTCCACACGTCTCCTCACATCTCCTCACTCCACACGTCTCCTCAGATCTCCTCACTTCACACATCTCCCCACTCCACACATCTCACTCCACACATCTCACTCCACACATCTCCTCACTTCACACATCTCCTCACATTCCTCACTCCACACATCTCCTCACTCCACACACTTAACTCCACACATGTCCCCACTGCACACATGTCCCCACTCTACACATCTCCTGACTCCACACA